TGAGGTTGGTGTTGACGCTGTTGTCGACGAAGCTGGATGATATAGTAGTAGAACCTTGAGCACCAAGTCCCCCTACCGGGCACGCCACTGTCGACGGGGGATACCCGTAGACCGGATGTAGAGGGTACTGGGGTACGCTGGTACGAGGATCTACGTAATATGACATCAAGCAGACAGAAAACAAAGATTATACTGGTTCAGGCCCCTTGATAGGTAATAGCCCTAATCCAGTTGATATGGGATTATATGATGGAAACCACAGATTACAGAGGGAAAAGCAGAACTCGATGATACCGACGAGGTCGTAATCGAACAGGTTCGATTAGATCTCCCGACGACTTGGCTTCTGTAGGCTTCAACTCCGTAGGCTGTGGTGGATGTGTTGGCTATGAGATTCGATCCCTTAGGTCCTCCCGGGGGGTCCCTTTTATATCGCAGGTCAGCTGGTCTCCAAGTAGGACTCGGAGACATCGGACCCAGCATGATACAATGATGACCCAGTCCCATCCGAGTAGGACTCCTTCCATCTGTGAACTCCATGGCGAATTTCCTTAACGCATGCCGAAAATGTCCGTATACGCGCAAGTATACCATATCGATACGTGACGTATATCGAAGGGTAGAGGGTATACCTTACCCGTAACCTTGACAGGCACCACGTCCCGTCCACCGCCGCGCCAGAGCCGCGCGGAACGCGATGCTCGCGCCGGCGCGGCTGCCGATCAGGAACAGGGGCCTGCAGCCGGGCGAGCCCGCGGCGTACGAGCGCACCCACCGGACCACGTCGGCGGCGTCCTCGAACGCGGCGGGGAGGCGGTCATCTGCGGGTTCGTCTCGGCGTGGGTGCTCATTGGGCTCAACGCGCTAGCGGCGAGGCTCAAATTCGACGACCCGCTCGAGACCGCGTAGCTGCACAGCGAGTGCGGCGCGTTGGGCGTCATCTTGTGGGCTGTTCATGGGCAGTGGCGGCGGCCGGCTGCTCGGGGCACACATAGTGGTCATCCTCGTCATCGTGGCGTGGGTGAGCTTCACCATGGCGCTGCTGTTCCTGGTGCTCAACAAGCTGGGCTTGCTGCGCATCTCAGCCGAGGCACAAGATGGCTGGCATGGACCAGGCGCACCACGGCGGGTTACCATGACGACGACGTGAGTGGCAAGCCGGACCGCGGCATCGGCGGGTTCATGCTCAAGTCGGCGCATGGCACGCAGGTCGCCGCCGAGATGGGTGGCAATGTCTAGTGGCATGGAGGAGCTGAGCTAGTAATACACACATGTAGCATCTGCGGATTCATCGGTGTCGACGGAGGCGATGACCGCGGGGATGGTGGCCGTGAGGGCCGTGCAGGAGTTGTGGAACGGCTCGAACACCGAGCAGAAGAGGACATACCCACCAGATCTGCTCGATGGAGAGGGAGGGGAAAGCGATTGCGGTGTCCATCACCGGCCACGCTTGCCACTGCCATTGCCGGTCTCGTGGAAGAGAGGAGAGGGGAGAAAGAGGAAGAAGAAGAAAACAAGGGTAATTTGGTCAAAAATTTATTGTAAATGCATCTCAGTGGCATATCTCAATATGTGCAAAATTATAATGGTATGATCCAAATTCACAAATACTGATGGCATATTTTAAAACTGGCATATTTTTAATGGCAATGTATCTAATTAACCCTATCCTATATAGGGCGCGTTCTTAATTCTTCATCAAGCATATATATGCATGTGAAACTGACACTGAAGATATAAATTAAATGTTAACAATGTTTCTAGAATTTACGGACGTTGATGACTTATTGGTTCCTAGATTAAATGGAGAGAGCTTTCAGAGGAGAGGAGCGGTGATTAATTTATGGCATCATTTTAATTTAAGAAAAAAACAATAAATACCATTGACAAACGCCAAAATTTAAGAAATACCATCGACGAATGCGAGTTTCATAAAATGCCATTGTACAAATGATTTTGTTCCAGAAATACCATCATCGTCAGGGTTCCGTCCATCCCGCGCCCTTAAATGTGATGTTCATCCTATATCGCTTAACAGAGGGATGCTAGCAAAACCCTAACAGCGATGATATTTTTGGAACAAAGTTACTTCTACGATGGCATTTTATGGAACTCGTACTTGTCAATAGCATTTCTTAAAACTAGCATGATGCGTGTGCGCTGCAACGGCATTTTTTTTCTATTTGTCTAATATATTATCATTGTGCTTGTCTGAGGGTGAGCTCCTCCACCAGGGAACCATAAGGCACCCTTTTTTTTAGTTTTGGCCTAGGGCGGTGATTGAAGTTCGAGGAATCTGTGGTGAAGTATGCAGGAGAGGGGGTCTAACCCCTCGGGGGAAAGACAATGGTGGTTTAAACAGGTTCGGACCGCTGAGAAGCGTAATACCCTACTCTTATGTTATGCTGACTGTGAGAAAGAGATTACAAGATTTCCTTGTTGGAGTAGAAGGTGTTTATCATGAGGGGCAGGAGACTGCTCTAGTGAAAAATGTCTCATCCCCTCCCTCATAAGGCCAGGACCTCTTTTTATATCTCAAGGGGTTACCACAGGGACCCGCCGAGCCTATCTAGGGAGGATAATCACATTGATTGCAAGTCTTGTTCCTTGCATTGGTAGTCTCTTACACGCCTTGCTGCGCCGTCGGGCCTGCCGAATCTATCCAGCTGACACGGGCGATGCGCTTGTCACTCGGCATTTAAGGGATGAGGACTTTTCGGTCCTCATTTATACCGGGAAGTTGGAACCCTGCCCTAAACGGGTTAGGCAAACCGTCTCCGGCTGACGTGAGAGGCTAAGCTGCCTCTCACCATCGTGATGTGACGGGGTGAGGGGGGGTGTTAGGCGGCTGGCCGCCTGACATGCAGCCAGGGGGCAGGCGCACTACCCCGGCCACATCAGTCATTTGACCGGTCACAGACCAGTCTGTCGCACCACGCCGCATTAAATGTAACACGTGGGGGGAGGGGTGCTCGCTCAGACCACCTTTAGTGCTGTTAGGTGGGCACTAGGAGCGCCCGCCAGGCGTGGCACACGGTGCCACGCGGAGGGGGTTGGGGTGACCTGACCCCTGGACACGTGGGGAAGGGTCGCCGCCCTGCCTCGGGCCGAACCTCCCCGGGGGAAGGCCACATGGCTGTTAGGGGCAAGCCCTTCCTCACAGTATGGGTACCCCAGGCCCATATTACCGACAGTGCTAATTTTGCTATCATTTCGTAAAGATAAAAAAAATTCATAATATTATATTGTCATATTATTCTTTCGACGAGGTTTATGACATGTGGGGGCTAGAAAATAAGCAAAGTTTTGTGGGTCCCACATGGTAGTTGGGTGGTGGTAATGACAGACTCACCACCACCACTACCATCTTTTTATCGCAGTGTTCGGTAGGCCGGCTGCAGCCGCGGCTGCGCACAGTGAATAAGGCATTGTTCGTGCCGCAGCCCCGACAACCGAACATACCCTATATTAGTATATAAAGATTGGACGTTTGTTAATAAAATTTCTTTGGATTTTCTCTTTTAATTGAGTGTGAATCCCATCATAATAAAGTGAAGATGGGCTAGCAGAGTATCTAATGCTCCGATTTAATTGAATGGTTTATATCACACATATTTTCTTTTCTATTGGCTGGAATAATACGGATGATGTGGCCGTACCTGATCATAGCTAATTGGGATTCTTATATACTCTATCTGTTTTACAATATAAGACTATTTCATAATATAAGACTTTCTGCTATTGGCCATATTTATATAGATGTTAATGAATCTAGACATATATATTTGTCTATTTATTAATAGCTATATCAATATGAGTAATGATAGAAAGTCTTACATTATGAAACGGAGGAAGTAGAATTTATTTATATATCGCTGAATGTACGTTAACTAGTTTCAGCTTAATTTTTTATAACTTGTAGAAATTAAATTTGACATGACATATTTGTGAAGTGATATATCTCATATTAATCTATCTTGATATTTTGTTTTAAAAATATTATTTAGGTGACATGAAAAAACGAAGGAATGTGCCCTCGAGACATAAAAATCCATCTCGGCAAATTTTCCCTAACACGCCAACTTGCAAGATTTTAATCAAACAAATTTTAGATGTATTTAAGTATCCTGCAAAATGTAACATTTATCCCAAATTGCAAAGATCCTGCAGCAAATGTTAGTTTTTTTAGTAGCAATTAATAGGTAAAAAATAACCGTAGTTCCTTAACAGCGACATCATCAAGAAAAACCAATAACTAATATCATCGCATGATTAGGATTTACCAAACCATTTTAGATGTAATTACCTAACCCCCACAGTTTAACAAACAGCTTACCATGTAGTATACCGTAGTTTCAAAAACCGAAAAAGTTACCACACACAATGGCTGTGATAACGGGGGATGCTAATGCGCGGGTGATCACCCGCACCCCCCCCTCCCCCTATACGTCCTCTTCTCCCCTTTTCTCCTCCCCTTCTTCTCTTTCCTACTACAGTATACCACAAATTTTTTTTTAATAAAACAAAAGTTAGAAAAATTTATGTAAATATATATTATATATAAAAAATTTGAATTCAAATTCAAATTTGAATCGGGTATGTAAACTTTTGACTTATAAACTTTGGATCTATAAATTTTAGGTGTATAAACTTTAGATGTATAGAAATACTATGTATAGAAAATATTTGAATTCAAATTCAAATTTAAATCAGACATAATTCAAATTCAAATTTGAAACGCGTATATAAACTTTTGACTTATAAACTTTATATCTATAAACTTTATAAACTTTAGGTCTATAAACTTTATATATATTAGAAATACTATATATAAAAAATATTTAAATTCAAATTTAAATTTGAATCGGATATATAAACTTTTGACTTATAAACTTTTGGTCCCTGAACTTTAGATGTGTAAACTTGAGGTGTATAAACTTTAGGTGTATAAATTTACTAAAATAGAAAAGTAATGCGGTGCCAGAAAAAAATCAGGTGGGCGAACTGATCGCTACCAGATCGCCCAGGCGATCGATCGCGCATCAGCTTTTCCGTGTGATAACCACGTGATAATCGTACAAAAGTACACGCAGAAGAACTAGACAAGCCAGAACGGCGTCTGACGAGGTGCACCCGGGAGAGACTCAAACGTGTCGAAGGTCTCGACGCTGCCGTCCTCGACGCTGAACACGTACAGGTTCCTCTTCTCGTCCTCGCTGAAGCCGTTGATCCAGTAGATGCGGTTGGCCTTCACCCCGCACCCGCTCGCCGAGCACGACGCGCCGCTGGAGTTGTCGCCGCCGACGAGGAACGCCCGGTCGCCGATGTCCGTCGCCCTGCGCCACGCCGGCCCCGGCGCCGCCGCCGAGAAGTCCATCCGGAACACGTGGACGTCGTACGGCCCGCCGATGCTGTACCCCTCGAAGGCGATGGCGACGAGGAACAGGTCGCCGCGCGACTCGACGAGGAACGTCAGCGAGCTGGACATCACCTGGCCGGCGGGGAAGTAGTCCAGGACGGGGATGGCGATGGCCCCCACCACCGCCTCGCCGCCGCCGCCGCCGCCGCCGCCGCCGGTGAAGTCCAGCGTGCCGAGCTCGCCCTTGTTCTCGGCGAAGTAGAACCTCCCGCCGACGCCGGCGACGTCGAAGAGTTGCCTCCTCTTGGGCACCGGGCAGTACTCCTCCGGCAGGTCGTAGCACCCGATGTCGTAGCCGTGCCTCGACCAGCGCTCGCCGCCGACGCGGCAGAACAGCAGCGCCGGGCTCTCCAGGTCGAACACGAGGACGCCGCAGCCGGGCTCCGGTGGCCGGCCCGACAGCACGCACCGGCGATGCGCCGGGAGCTCGCCCTCGCCGAGCGGCGGCAGCTCGGCGACCCTCGACCCGTCGCGTGGGTCGAGGAGGAACGCCGACGCCGGCGGCGAGCTCGTCGTCATCAGCACGAGGACCAAACCCTGCGGCGTCTCGAGGAACGTGTTGCCGCACATCTCCACCGAAAGGTTGACGTCGAGCAGCTTCATGGCAGGCAGACTGAAGACTCTCGTCGCCATTGACGAAGACGAAGACGACGGAGTGACACCAGCAACGCCATATCTCTGCACCAGCAACGGGTAAGCTGCGGCCGCCGCTGTCGATGAGTTCGCCATCGAGATCGATCGAAAATTTTACACACCGGATATTAATCAGGGTGCCTTAAATTAGCCGTAAATCTCTCCGAGTCTGAGTCCTATACATGTTCCTGGCCGAGTGGCCGCGATGGATTGCGCCTGATGATCGGGAAGAAACATTAACGGGCATCGTTCCATACTCAACTTATCTAATTTTTTACACCCTCCATCCCATAAAAATTATATTTCTAGCTAATTTAGGACAAAACAGTAGGATTAGAAAATGACCACAATGACCTTATTTAATGAACTCATTGCATGCACACATTCCATATATACAAATGATTAAAAGGAAGTTTGAGAGAATTAACCCATATAATTAGCATACTTAAATTATAAGCTGAGAGAACGTAAGGAAACTTATCTAGATGAATCAATTTGTTGGGCCCCACATGGCTAGAAATACAATTTTTGTGGGATAAAGCCTTAGAGCTAGAAATGTAATTTTATTGGGATGGAGGTAGTATATTATCAAGATTTCGGAGGAAACAAACTAAACATACCATCACCAATATAATATAACCTATCAAATTTTGGTAATTTCGAAGTTTATATTCTCAAAATTGGTTTTCACTAAAATTTGGTAAGGTATCAAACTAATTAAACATCTTATCCTAGCATTATTAAAGTTTCATAAAGGTTTTTTTTCCACAGTAAACAAGCCCAAAATATAAAGGTATTGTGGGAGGATGGAGTGGTTTTTAGGCCCAAATATTTTTTTTTACAAAGCCTTAATGTAAGACTATTAATTTCGAGTCTTTTCTTAATAATGGAATGAAACATTTCGGTCTTTGCTTAAGAGCTACAGCCAATTATTACTAGGTTCACATAAAAACAAACTTACACCGTGAGTATGAAGCCAAAGTAAAAAACCAAAAGTAAAAGCAAACTAATAAAAACCAAACAAGATAAAGCCCCCACAACTACTAAATTCTATTGGTGAATCTCCACCCGAAGTTTGCAAAGAGTAGCATGATCGTCGACTCAAATTTATGACACATATCTTTTATTAACTTGATATGATCATCATACCTTTGTAGTTGAGTCTATTCCCGGACCCACTATGTTGCCCTGGAAAGAACCTGCAAATAAGATTTTGAAGGTGATCTATCAAAAACCATTTCATTTCTACTAAGCCAGAGAGCCCAACATACAGCAGAAGCTTCAACAATAATAAGTTCCTTGATCTTTTTATTAACACCCACAAGCCAATTCCCAAACATATAAGATATACTACGTGGAGGGTATAATCCAAATGCAAATAGTATAGATCTCCTAATAAATATGGCAAAATGGCAATCTAGGAAAAGATAGTAAATCGTTTCATTTTTCATAAAAAAACAACATCTCAAACTACCATTCCAATTCCTCCTAGCCAAATTGTCTTTTATTAAAACAATCCCCTTAAGGAGATATGACATAAAAATCTTAATCTTAAGAGGCATATTAAGTTTTCAAATAAACTTATTTCTCTCGATATGCCCATTAATAAGAGCCAAATACATAGATCTAACTGAAAATTGACCACTTTGATGAAAATTCAATCTAAATATATCATCCTCCACTGTTAAGTTAATTAACATGCACAATTGAAGCACATAAATTCAACCATCTAATCAAGTTCTGATCAACTAATGCTCTCCTAAAAGAGACATTAAGCGGAACAATACTCATAACACTTGCAACTGAGGAGTTTTTCCTTCTAACTATGGAATATAATGATGGGTATCTGTCCTTTAAAGATGAATCACCTAACTACTTATCCTCTCATAATCTAACTTGTTCACCATTGTTAATAAACCAGGAACCCATATTTAGAAAAGAACTTTTAACCTTCATCCATCCTGACCAAAAATGGGAATCCTCTTGTTTCCGCTCAACTTGAGTTATAGATTTAGTATCAAGATATTTCCTTTTCAAAAGATCTTCCCACACACCTTGTTCATTTATTAATTTAAACAACCACTTACTTAGTAAACACTGGTTTTGATTTCTAAATTATGAACACCAAGTCCCCTTTAATCTTTAGGCTGACAAATAGTATCTCATCTTGTCAATATATATTTCTTTTTATGTTCATCACTTTGCCAAAAGAAATGGGATCTATAATAATCAATTTTTTGAAGAACCCCTTTAGGAATCTCAAAAAACAAAATCATAAACATAACTAAACTTGATAACACAGAGTTAATCAAAACCAATCTTCCACCTACAGGCATATGCTTACCCTTCGAACTACTAAGTTTTTTCTCAATTCTTTGTTTAATTGCTAACCAATCTTTATTACTAAGCTTTATAAAATGCATAGAAATGTTAAGATATCTAACATAAAAATCTCCTAGTTTGCACCCAAAAATATTTGAATATTGCTCATGACTTTCCTTAGCTTGGCCAAAGCAAAATAATTCACTCTTGTGGAAATTTATCTTTAGGCCAGATAAATTTTCAAAACCAGTTAAAATCAATTTCATATTTTTAGCTTTCTATAAATCATGCTCTAAAAAAATGATAGTATCATCGGCATATTGTAACATAGATAAACCATCATCAATCAGATGTTGGACCACTCTAGAAATTTGACCATCATCTTTTGCTCTCTTTATTAATATAGCTAACATATCAACAACTATATAAAAAAGAATTGGAGATAACGGGTCCCCTTGCCTTAAACCCTTGTATGTTTGAAAATTTGATCCCACTTGGTCATTGACTTTAATGCCAACATGTCCACCTTGATAAAAGACGCAATCCAATCACACTATTTTTTGTGATAAACCCTTCATTCTCAAAGTTTGTTGAACAAAAGACCATTTTACTTTATCATAAACTTTATCAAAATCAATCTTAAAAAGTACACCACTCTTTTTTATCAGTGCAATTCATGTATCATTTCATGAAGAATAACAACACCCTCCATAATATTCCTCTCAGGTATAAAAGTTGTCTGTGTGGGACTAATAACCTTCTGAGCCACTCCGGAAATTCTATTTGTAGCAACTTTAGTAAAAATTTTAAAACTAATATTAAGTAAACAAATAGACATATATTGTTGAATTTTCAAAGCCTCATTGCACTTGGGTAGTAAAATAATAGTACCAAACTTAAGAGAGTAAAGAGGTAAATTACCACTATGAAAATCATCAAATAAATCAACCAAATCGGGCTTAAGAACATTTCAGAAAATCTGATAAAACTCAGCTGAGAATCCATCCGGACCCGAGCTTTATTATGTTCCATTTGAAAAATCGCATCTTAAATTTCCTCCTCAGAAAAAACTTGTACTAAAGCTTTATTTTCTAATTGAGAGACCTGTGGAATATCACTTATTTGGCTTTCATCTAACGTTAAAGAAGACTTTTATAATAAGTGGTGATTTGCGCCTTTTCACATCACCATTAATTACCTAATCACCATCCTGTAACTGATAAATCCTTGTTTTCCTGTGCTTACCATTTGCTACCAAATGAAAATATTTAGTATTCGAGTCCCCTTCCAAAATATTTTTAGTCTTAGCTCGCTAATACCATTTAATTTCCTCTTCCCTTAGAAAACAGGATAGCTTATTCTTCAAATAAAGTCTAGAATCAAGTTCCACTTGAGTTAACAAAGTTCATCATAATTTTTTATCAAGAAAATCAAGTTTTTCTAACAAAAACTTCTTCCCTTTTCTTATAAAGGCCACTAGTCTGTTTGGCCCAACCTTAGTCTATTTGGCCCAACCTATTTGATGGTTATTATAAGTAGATGAAGAATTTGTGTTTAAGAGTAAAGAAGTATCGTCAAAGATATCTCTATTAGGAGTATAATTTTGAAGTACTCTTGGAGTTGACCAGAAACTCTCTCCGGAGTCCAACATATGTCTACTCCAAAACATCAATGGTTAACTAACGTGCCGTGTTCATGCAGAATTTTGCTGGTACATGTACGTATCCCTATTTCGATCGGATATTACGTGTTTTCCCCGTAGTGATAGAGATTTTCGTTTGCGACTCTGAAATCGTCTCGTACTCTCGTCAACAACAATGGCAGACGAATCGATCCCGTTGTTCACTGTTGGTTACCCTTTGTTGGTGTAGCAGAGCCATGCCGACGGCCAACCAGGCTCACCGGCGATGGCCTATAGCCTGCTTGACGGGAAGACGCCCAACGATATCAGCCTGCAGCCCGAGATGCACTCTAACACCTTCCTCGAGACGCCGCAGGGCTAGGTCTTGTACTGAGCACCTCGCCGGCGCTGGAGACGACGACGATGTTCCTCCTCGACATCCAGAAAGAAGGTCGGCCTATCACCTCTCGACTACTATCTCACGGCAAATCACAATGTTTATGCTACACACTGACCACGACGGTAGCCTGGGAACAATGGCCATCTCCGATCAAGTGCAGTTGTTAGTACAATGACGGTATTTAAACAGTTATATCCATCTACAATCGTTCGTTAAGCTAATGAACGTCAAAGAGATGTGCCACGTCACCAACTGGCTGCTAGCGCTACGGACCATGCTACAGTGCACAATAGGACTAAGGGCTTGTTTGGTTGCTACCCTGAAACCTGAGTCCAAGCCTGTGACTTGCCTGTGTTGTGTTTGGTTGGTGCCCTGAAGATATTGGCCTGATAAAACTTGCCTAAGTGCGCACGCCTAAGTCAGGCCTAGGAAATTGGTCGCCTGATCACCCCATGTACTGACCAAGTAAAAAAAATGGGCATCACTTTCCCCCTTCTTGCTCTCAAAAGTGAATATAAAAGCCTAATATCTTCACTTCTCTAACATTTGGCAAGTATAATCTCAGGCACAAATTGAATCAAACAACACCTGACCATTGTATCCCATCAGGCTTATTTTTAGGGCATCAACCAAACACACTACTCTCAGGGAGACATGCCTGACCAGGTAACTTTGCTATCTAAGCTCAGGCTACTCTCAGGGATGTAAAATGCTCAGGCAGGTTGCTCAGGATAGCAACCAAACAAGCCCTAAATGTGCGGGCTACAGTAGCACACATTACCCTGGCCGAATCTGAGCTGCTCTTATTTGATATGACGGTCACCCAATGACTACTAAATTTGTAGTCCCTACT